AAACAACGAGATCTCTTCATTACGTTTAACAGATCATTATCGTATCATTTTGTTTTCATATAGCATTTGAGCATACCATTTCTGCTTTGAAACCCATGCTAATCAGCTTTCTTTTCTTTACCATCTACATGTATATATGTAGGAGAAAAGCAGATATGTTAGGATTCGAATAATCCGATATGCAAGATAGTGATGGTCTGAGCTTGAAAATACAGACGCGATGCGCTAAATGATGCTTTTGACCTCATGGAGAGCGAGATTCAAGAAAAATATGCAGCTTTCTGTTTGGGGAAAATATCTTATTTGTTTTATACGCAATAACTAAGTAAAGTTTTGAATACATGTCTGTGATTTTCTCGGCGGTAAAAGCGAAACTCAAAAACAACCTGAAAACATGCAAAAAAGCGATAACTAAAGATCAAGAAGCAGTTATTGTTAATGTCACCCCGCATCGCGTGGGAACTCAAGAACTGAATCTGCGCGCACCGCTGCAGGCGGCGGCGACGATACTAGAGCGCGGAAGTTAATCGGGATTTGTCAGCGCTATCGACTGATCTTTGCGTTTGGATTGCTTTCTCGTGTTTCTGTGCAACTACTTTGCTTTGCGCTTTTCATATCTAAATGTCACTTACATGTTCGCTTACTTGATTTTTTTTTAATGATCAGCACGATCAAAAACTTTTCTTCCAATACTTTTGAAAACTCAGGTGATGTTCAAAGTTGACTTTGAGCACTTAAGCTCACACTCGACATGTTGTAATCGATTTTTGTAATGTCCTCTGATGTGATGTCTTTGCTGGAGTAGCTTCACTTCTCCAGCAATGTATTTTATATCCTCTATTGAAATATCACTCCATCACATTAAAAAAAACAAATCTTTGAAGTAAGAGGAAACAAAGAAAAAAGGAAAGGAAAAAAGAAAAAACGTCACAACTCTTTATAGTTACAATTCTAACCATAGGCCACTTCCGCGCTCGAGTATTGTTTCCGCCGCTTGCGACACGCGCAGCCTCGGTACGTGGGTACTCACGACCGTTGCGGGGTGACATCGCCTATATGTGTTATGCTTTAGACATTGGACATCTAATTCCAGTGAGATTATAACGAAAGTTCAAAACTTAACTATCTGAAATCTTGAAATTTGAGTATTTATCAATACTGCATTACAGGGAAATTTTCGCTTCTTGTATTTCTCTCATCAGCGCGGTCGTTTGCAAGCATTACAACGTAATGCTGACGGCAAGATGCAAGCAAGAATAGTAAGGAAAGTACAAGAGGAGGCGGTCTAACACTATAGATTGTAACAAACTCGGCTGCATCTATCTTCTATGTTTCCTTCTGTCATAATTGGTAATTCCCTTGATACACTTATTCTCATACTTATACATTACACATTGCGGTGCAGGAAAGCTTTGATATGAAACCAGAAAGTGCTGATGGGGAAGTGATGTAAAAGGGAAGCAAAAAAGTAATCATTTAGATCGCTATAAGGTATGTGCACGACGCCATTTTTAATTGCGCACGTGGGCGAATTATTAGGTTGTCCTGAAAGTTTTGTCCGTTTTTTCAACCTATCATAAAAACACCTGGAACAAAGATAGGGAAACGCTCTAAACACAACCCGATGCATGTTTTCCTCCTCTTTTTAATTGTCATGCTACCATGCCGATTACTCTTTTGCTCACTGAGATAAACGCCGAAATTTCGAACCCATGGTTTTTACTATGTCCAAGTTTGGCAATTTTTCACAATCTTCATTTTCAACTTTTGGAAGACCTTCGATAGCGCTCAGATAGAGTAAACAAAGGGCAATTCATTGCAATTTTTAGGCTTGTCCAGCTGGCTTTTCAGTATTTTTTAAGACAATTTTTCCAAAAATCTTCACTTTTGCGAAGTCCCAAAGTACAGAAACGCTTCGAACAGTAACAAATCATCTGATTTTGAATTTTTCAAAAACCGATTACGACTATTCACCATTTTTACGAAGCAAATGAGCGTTTACCGCTTCGATCTATAAGATTTTGCATTTTACGTGTACACGCTGGGGTGGGGTCAAATTCAAGAATTATGGAAATTTTATCGCCCCTTAAATTCGAGAGAAAATACATACACTGGAAAGAGGAGGAAAAGCTGCATCGAATAATCATCCAAAAATGGAATTCAATAGCATCGGAAAAATAATTCTAAAAAATTTTTAAGGCTAGCTGTAGATGCCGCAAAATTGCATTATGTTGCCCTTTGTTTGCTCTATCTAAATGCTATCAGAGCTTCTCCGAAAGTCAAAAATGAAGATTGTGAAAAATTTCCAAACTTGGACATAGTAAAAACCATGGGTTCGAAATTTCGGCGTTTATCTCAGTGAGCAAAAGAGTAATCGGCATGGTAGCATGACAATCAAAAAGAGGAGGAAAAGGTGCATCGGGCTGTGTTTAAGGCGTTTCCCTATCTTTGTTCCAGGTGTTTTTATGATAGGTTGAAAAAACGGACAAAACTTTCGGGACAACCTGATATAAGCGTCAATGCTGGCCACCATGCTGAACTAGTGGTAAACAGGATCAAGCGTGAAGTGTAGCATGCCACACTGAGGTATTGAGAGGTAAGGGTGGACTTGTCGTTGTCGAGGTTATACTGAGGTTAGCGGTAACATGATATTCGTTAACAATGTCAGAGAGGCCCTTCGTGCAAAATTCTAGCACATTGATGTTTGGGCTTGATCGTATACGTGCAGTAAGCATAGTAAAAGAGCCCTAAAAGCATAGGAGCATCACTTCCGTAATTAGCATGTCAGATAGTCCCTGTGGGCCAAGTTTCACCGAATTCCGGGGTTTCCAAACATTAGACCGCCTAAGAGAGATGGTCATTTTCATTCATGTTAACTTTGTTTCAAAGGTGAGTTAACTACTTCTTTCTGTAGTTAATACGAAGAAGTACGCTTCTTTGCTTACTTTATGAATCTACTTCACATGACCTCCAAATTACGGAACTGAAAACAAGCCAAGATCTCGTTTGTTCTAGTCTCGCTTCAACATCGCAGACTAGAGAAGACCAATCAGGCTCAAATTACTTTAGTGTGAGTTACTTTGACTGTCGAACATATACATTCTTGCCGCTTCCCTCGCAATTCACGTTAGACCTAGCTTGTTACCGTAAACCATATTTTCGCAGTATTTTCCATTTGCATAGATGAGTAAAATCGATCTATCTTTCTCTAGAATAAAGGGTTTCAAACGAAATTCCTGCTGTATATAAATATGAATACTATAAATGATATATGTATAAATAAGAAGGTTAAGCTGTAGCAGCGCAGGTGGTTCTAACAAGGAGAAGATACTTAGTCGAAAGCACCAATCCAGATATGAGATATGTAGTCTTAAAGGGCTCGAAACGCTGGCTCCAAATCTGTAGTTTTTAGGAGCGGAGCGGTTTTGTAGAAGGAGTTATGAGAGGTGTTTCCCTTTGGGGGGGGGGGGAGATGCCCTCCTCCGGCAGGTCTCCCTTCATCTGTGAGCACTGTAGAAGATTACCAACTGGTGGCAATTGGCATAGTGGTAAGTGACTTGCTTGATAAGGAGAGTGTCAAGATTTTAATTTTCTTCGCATGCAACTTTATCGCATTTGCAAAAGTGAGCTTCTAAATGGCTTTAAACCCCTAAAGTCTAAAATTTCTGATGATATCTATGGTAATCGAAGTTAGAAGTGTCAAAAAAACCAAAGTAATACTAGTATAACAACCCTTATTGTAATCGTTATTCAAATTACTTATCACTAGGCCAGTTGCCACCAGTTGATACTCTTCTACAGTGCTCACAGATAGGTGGAGATCTGCTGGAGGAGGGCGCCTCAACCCAAGAGGGAAACACCCCTCATAACTCCTTCTATAAAACCGCTCCGCTGCTAGAAACTACAGATGTGGAGTCAGGTTTTCAACGCTTTAAGATGATATTTGTTTCATGTGGTTTGGTGCTTTCGACTAAGTATCCTCTCCCTGTAAGTTAAGTCAATGGGGTTGTGCCACACCACATTAACATACTTCCAAAGAGGGATTTCCTAATTACACTTTTGGTTTTTATAAAAATTAGAGCTGAATTCGTCTTCTCTCGTTTGAGCAATAATTGTTGGAAGCACATCCAGTGTAAGCGAAAAGTGGGGCACACGAGATTTTGGCTGGCTCCGGTTTCTGTAGGTTACGGGTTATTTAAAGCAGTTCTTGGTTGATCAAACAGTAAGTAGTGCTTTGTGAGCACCAAAAGAGGTAGCTAATTCACTTTTGAGATACAATTGACCATCTTTGTAAATGATCACTTTGGCCCAATATTGGTAATCCTCAGAATGCAATTTGGCCCAAAGGGGTGATTTGAGGTACAATCACGGAGTTACCAGTCACTCTTGGTAGAGCCTTTATGTCTTGCCTACAAGCAAACAATAATGCTGGGGGGGGGGGGGGGAGGGCGGACGATATTGAGACAGAACCTAGGGAGGGGAGGGAGGTCTTCTGCACTTATCAATCCTCTTGCTCGACCTAGTCGTAGGCTTCCAAAAGAATCGGTCTTGCTTGGAAAGATACTCATTCATGCATGACAACATCAAGTACCTTGATATAACCCTAATTAAGGCTAGGTAATGATCAGAGAGCACTCGCGCCCGCGACGCACCTGCGTCTCTCGCGCGCGAGTGCTCTCTGATCCCTAGCCTTAATTAGGTCACGAAGCCTCGCCTTTGCCGAAGCTCAGCTAGTTGTATCAATTGTATCGTTTATTCGTTGACCGTAACGACTGCTGACCGCGCGGCGACCGCTGCGTGTGCATGATGTTTTCGTAGAAAAGATGAATAAAAAGAAAACAGAGGATTCTTCTCATCTTTATAATGTAGAAAGAAACAAAGAATTCTTCTCATTTTAAGCCACGGTCCAACTTGTCACTTTTTCGCAAGTTTAGAAGGCACGCGTCGCAGTCGCCACGCGGTCGGCAGTCCGTACGGTCAACGAATGAACGATACTACGTTTACATGGTAAGTTTTTCTACTTGTCTCACCTCGCATGTCAAATAAGCAGGCTCTGGTCTTCTCTGTTCCCGGATCAGTCCAATGAATTTCTTTGCTTTAGTGTAAGTATTAACGCCACTTATTTCAGAGTGGCTGAAAAGTTTCAGTCTATGGGAAGGAGTTGGAATAGAAACAGCTACTCAAACTCACAGGTCATAACGATAATCGTAGATATATCCGACCGTATCATTAATCACGTAATCTCTGTACGCCCAGGCGTTATCGACATGATAACACATCTTGTAGTCAAATTTCTGAAAAAGTGCTCTCTTGAGGTTGAACAAATTGATCCTTTACAGTGCAAATTATACATTGTTAATGAATTTGAAGTCACCAAATTTCAAAAAGCAGAGATGCTGATTGCAAAATATGTTTGATCCAGAAACCAACATTTGGTGAATTTTTGTGTAAAACTTGTATTTTTAAGTGTAACTTACAAGTTTCATCCAATTGTTTCCGTTTTTTTCGTTGCTGCAGTACCAATTGAATCCTGATATGAGGTTCATGCTATCACTTTCTCCCAGCCCATGACATTCGTAACCATTGAAAGAGGCAGCACAAAAAACTGGCAAGAGCTGAAAGCGGCGAACATTGCGGTTTTTCAGAAAAAAAGTGATTTATCACTTACAATAAGTATGAAGAAAAACACCATTTGGTAAGGTTACATAATCCAAGCGAATTTATACTGACAGATTTTGGCAAATATACGAATACAAATAAGATAGTAGAATAATAATGCCGTTAGGCTTGCAATAGTTCAATCGGATCCCAACCGGTAGAGTGCGTCACGAACTGGCTAAATGACCATTTGTGCTTTCAACATAGCAATGTAGAAATGCCTCGTGACTGAAAGTTCAAACACAATTCTGAATGAATTATAGTGTCATTCAATTTTTTACTCTACCTATTTATTCGAATTGTGTATATGAAGCTAAATGTCTGTTTGTATGTCTATCTGTCTGTATGTACGCATGTTCCGACTAGCAACTTCCATTTCTGAACGATCCAGACCAAACTTGGCACACATACCCTTCGAGGCGGGGCAAGTGTCGTAAGCTACTTTTCGTCATCGATCCATATCGATTTTTTATCAATTTTTACCGATTTCTTTGCCAAGTTTGAGCTACGGGGCTGGCACATGGTATAGGTGGGGGGGGGGGTGGGGTAAGTGAGCACGCTGATTACGTATATAATAATTTTGTAAGAATAGTTGATATTTTTACGTTTTCTTTCCAAATCGGACTAGAAAAGTGTGTTTATACTTGGTTATGCTAATATAAATAAAATGATCTTTATCTCTCATCCTCAGTCCTTCATCAAAACACCGCTTCTGTCATCTGGGGGCTGGAAGTCGGTACGGAATAAGCGAGGGGCTGATTATACTCTATTTTAAAGCGTAGGCACCCCATCTGACGTCCGATGTCGGTTTGTTCGTGCCACATTTGGGTTGTTTACCTCTATGCTCCACCCCCCTCCCCTATTATTCATCACTGCCACTCGTTCGGACATTGTTTTACAAACCTATCTTTCGCTTCAAGTTGTCAAGATATCCCATTCAATCAACACCAGCGAGGTGCACTTTTTCCAACAATTTCGTAATGACTAACAATGTATTAGACAATGTTGTTGTGACCAAGTGTTCCAAATAAGTTGCAGAGGAGTTTAGGCTAGCATGCGCAACTATAAAATGGTGCTCTGTTGATTCGTCACAAGCACAACTTGACTATAGGATAAAACAGAGCAGATTTACTATAGTGTACTTTAGTCGGCCTACTCTTTCCGTGTAGCTGGAGCGATCTATAGCGTAAAATAGCTTGATCGAGCAAGTGGAGCCAAATGACTGGCAGAAAATTGATGGTAGGCACAGAAATCAAATTGTTCTATATGCTTGCTAATTGATTTCTGCAAATTGAGGTCGATGGTAAATTTGACGATTTTTATGTGACATGTATGTGCATTCTTTTGAGAGGATTTACCGTATTTGATAACGCTCCAGCCATCGGTATGAATTAAACCGCTATATATTGAGTTGATGCAATAATGAGCGTTTTTGGAGGCCTTTCTTATGACATTCTTCATTAGAACACTCAGCATACCAAATTACATGAGTGAAACCATCGTAGCTTTGTTTTTGTATGAACATGAAAATTTTCGTTTTCTTGATTTCTAAATGAGAAAAAAATTCAGAAACGACACTTATAAGTGTCTGATGTAGCGTGCAATTCTTATGAGAAAATTGAAGATTTGTAGGATTTTTTGAACAGAGATATGAATTTTTCGCGTTTTTTTGAGCCTCATCACGATTCAGATTTTGGAAGCAAACTTACAGTGGGATGAAGATGGTGCGAACTTTTGCAAACCATCTTCTAGGGCTTGCTTTGCTCATCGAATGATATCCTGGACCCCTATTGACAATGTGAACTGCATGATTTATCGCCTGAGAAGTGAGAGTGTCTCAATACATATGTTACAACCAGGGTCAAGCGTGCTGATGCGATCCGGAACCCTCATTTACGACCCCCTCTCCTAAAGGTACCCTCCGTACGACCCCTCCCTTATCCCTTCCCTCTCCCCACTCCTCTCCTCCACTTATTTTGCGGTAACCTGCATAAACGAATGTCATTCTTAAAAGATGCCTACCAATGGACCTCAATCAAAATTATACAGTGCTGGACATAATTATAAAGCCACTCTTGGTGCAAGAGTTTTGTCAGTTTTTTTCAATCCATTGGCAAGCGCGCTAAAATGAAGATAAACAAACAGTTCAAGAAGTATCCGATGCAGAATTTCTTCCTCTTTCCAGCTGCTAAGCTCTCGTTGTGTTTCGTCGAGAAAATGACGAGATATTTGCCGAAAATTACGACCACTCGTTTTTACCATGTCCAACATTCACTAATTTTCAAAATTTTTGTACGAGATTCTTGGAGGAGCCCTAATAACCTTCAGATAGGGCAAAACTTTGGCCAACAAAAGCAATTTTTCGTAGCTGCTTTTTCAGGATTTTGCCAAGTAATTTTCTGAAAGTCTTTTGTTTTGAAAAAATCGCATAACCTTTCATTGTACCAAACACTGCAAAACCTACAGAATACTGAGGTTTCAGCACACGATTATTACTACCGCTTCCATTACAAAGTAAATGAGCGATTCTCGCTTAAGTTATGAAGATTTTGAAACATAGGTTACGTCATTGCGCACTCATGAAATTGAGAAATACTGCAAATTTCCCCATAAATTTCGTAGAAATTCTAAAAAACAAGGCGTTGGGCTACAAAAAATTGCTTCTGTTGGCAAAAGGTTTGCCCTATCTGGTGGTTATTAGGCTCCTCCGAAAATCTCATGCAAAAATTTTGAAGATTAGTGAAAGTTGGACATGGTAAGACGAGTGGTTGTAATTTCCGGCAAATATCTCGTCATCTTCTCAACGAAACACAACGGTAGTTTAGCATCTGAAAAGAGGAAGAAATTCTGCATCGGATGCTTTTTGAGTTTATCTTCATTCTAGCGTGCTTGCCAATGGATTGAAAAAACTGACAAAACTTTTGCACCAAGAGTGGCTTTATAATTATGTCCAGCACTGTAGGTCAGAGCATAACTACCTACAAATTGGGGAATAATGCAATGCTTCACCACTCAGAAAACAAATAATTCTATGGATTGGGTAAGTAGTAAAATTTTACAAAGTGGTATGCTTACTGTAGGAAAATATGAATGGAAAGGACATTATCTGACAAAGCAGAGCATCGAATTGATTTTGAATGGTGTCTAAGCTGTACTCTACCTACAAAAAATGAAATAAAATAACAACCAAAAAAAATTCAGCATAGGAACGGTTTACTTTAGTCATTATAATTGACTATTTATAATAACTCCTTTTTTAGTGAAGGTTAATAAACTTTTTTGCTGTTTATAAATGTTCGGCATAATCCTTGTCCAGTGGTACCGAAAAATATAGACTATGGTTCTGGAAATTAGAACGTTTTAGACTTTGATGACAGTCCTGTGTTCTATCCCCGTACGCGATAATATTTTTTTTTCAGGGGAAAAACGACATCTTCGAAGCGTAAAATTTGTCTTCGACTAAAAAGCTTACTTTCTGTCTACTACACAGATTTTTCTGCGAAAAAAACCTTTTTAGCGCCTTCCAAAACGATGCTAAACGTGCATAAGCACACGGTACTTTGAAAATTCGTAACTAAGGTCAGGGAAAGACTGGGAGGCTGTAATGAATAGGCTTTGTAGTATTCTGCCCATACTATCCATGGAAAAAGTTTCAGCCATTGAGGGACAGTGAGCTCGAAAAATTTTAGATGCGACTCTCGCAAATTTAGATGCGATCCTAAAAAGCAAAAACTGGGATTTTTAAGCTTGAAATTTCGTAACTCACAGGAGAAGTTATGATAGCTTAAAATTTTTATGACGAAAAGAAGAAGGATGGCCTCGTAATACAGCAAAATTGCAGTGAGCAGGCCTCCATAGCGGCGAAAGAATTTAAATGCGATCCAGATACGACCCGTTTTTTTCATCTTTTGTTGCAACATATAAAATTTTAGAAAAAACAGGCTATGAAATATAACCAGATTTTGCACATTTGTAGCAGAGCATCTCTAAAGCACAGGTAAATTGTATGGGCCTTTGAAAGAATAACAAAAAAGGTTTTAAAAGTTATCGATGGTCATCGCTGGTAGAGATGAGCGCTTCTGTCGAGACTGTGAGACTTCAGTGATGCTTCGAAGCCAGGATTTCTAGTGCAATTGGTACATTTAACATTCTTGTCACACCTACATGCCTAGTGTTCAAGCTTTTGAAAGTGTCTTCAAAATCTTCAGTCATACTTGTGGCCAGCAAGTTCGATCCCAGTCTGCGACACCTTTTTTGCAAGGAGAAAAATGCGGTGTGAAGGGTAGAGAATGTTTGCGACTGAGAAGCTTATTTCCCACATTTCACACTTTTTTTATATGGACCACCCTCTCTTACGACCCTCCTCCCACCGCCGGTGCCACCTTTATGACCTCCGTTGCGACAGTCGCATCATACGCTTGACCCTGGTCAAATAAAAGGATAAAGGATTCGGCGTCTTCAATACCCTCTGCGGGCATGCGCCGAACGCACACACTAACTTAATAGTCGAAGAGGCAATTGTATGCGTGCGAGCCTATTACAGTGACTTGCGGGGGCCAGCCGTTTCCAAGTCAGTGCTTTTATCCTCCCAGATTACTTTGGTACCAATTTACCGGCCCCGGAGGGTAGAGGGCTTGGTTGGCCCAGGGGCGGGGATCGAACCTGTGTACGATCTGGTCATAGCGGCGCCTCATACCACTACGCCACTCGTCCCCCGACCCTGGTTACAACCTAATATTTTCAGTTTTGATGGAATCCGCAGATAATTCTGGGAAAATTGGTGGCAAACAAGTCTACCATTGTCGCATCTTATGATAGCAGAAAGAAGTACAACACCGCTCACATTTTTTGAAAAATAGATGCAAATGTACATACATGTCGCTACATG